AAATCGAAAAATCGAAAAATCGAAAAATCGAAAAATCGAAAAATCGAAAAATCGAAAAATCGAAAAATCGAAAAATCGAAAAATCGAAAAATCGAAAAATCGAAAAATCGAAAAATCGAAAAATCGAAAAATCGAAAAATCGAAAAATCGAAAAATCGAAAAATCGAAAAATCGAAAAATCGAAAAATCGAAAAATCGAAAAATCGAAAAATCGAAAAATCGAAAAATCGAAAAATCGAAAAATCGAAAAATCGAAAAATCGAAAAATCGAAAAATCGAAAAATCGAAAAATCGAAAAATCGAAAAATCGAAAAATCGAAAAATCGAAAAATCGAAAAATCGAAAAATCGAAAAATCGAAAAATCGAAAAATCGAAAAATCGAAAAATCGAAAAATCGAAAAATCGAAAAATCGAAAAATCGAAAAATCGAAAAATCGAAAAATCGAAAAATCGAAAAATCGAAAAATCGAAAAATCGAAAAATCGAAAAATCGAAAAATCGAAAAATCGAAAAATCGAAAAATCGAAAAATCGAAAAATCGAAAAATCGAAAAATCGAAAAATCGAAAAATCGAAAAATCGAAAAATCGAAAAATCGAAAAATCGAAAAATCGAAAAATCGAAAAATCGAAAAATCGAAAAATCGAAAAATCGAAAAATCGAAAAATCGAAAAATCGAAAAATCGAAAAATCGAAAAATCGAAAAATCGAAAAATCGAAAAATCGAAAAATCGAAAAATCGAAAAACCGAAAAATCGAAAAATCGAAAAATCGAAAAATCGAAAAATCGAATAATCGAAAAATCGAAAAATCGAAAAATCGAAAAATCGAAAAATCGAAAAATCGAAAAATCGAAAAATCGAAAAATCAAAATATCGAAAAAGAAATTCCATAACCCACTCCGACTGGCACAGCGGCGCGGCGTTGAAAGCCGTGCATCGTCTAACGTCGTTTTAGTTCGGCAGACTTCGGCACGGTGTTTGTGTGCGTGCGACTAGACGTATGCGTGTAGGCTAGCTGCTAACCGCGCTCATAACTGATTTATCTCTTTTAGACACAATTTTGGAAAAATTGAATTTGAAAATGAATAATGATCCACAAGAATCCACAACAAAATATGGGACCACCTTTGACGCGGTATTTTCCAGATATTTAGAGGATATCAAGTCTCAAACTTATGTTTCTTATTTCAGTTACCATAAACCTATAGTTTCAATGATAAAAATTCCTGAATAACCTACATGTATTGTAAAATAATAAAAATATTTTAAACAATATTAACTTCTCATTTATTCAATAAAAGAAAAGAAATTGTTTTCTTATCGGTCACCACGCTCAAAAAGTGTAACTTGAATTAATATAGAAGAAAAAACTTGAATATCAAAGAAAAAAAAAATTCTGCGTAAATAAAATAAATAAATAATTATAAGTTGATAAAAAATGTTATGCAATGGCTTTACCGCGGCAGTCCCCGAGTGCCACACGTATTTTTTTATTACTAATTATCTTATTTTTACTATTTTTACAATTTACTCGATATTGAAGGGTGGACGGCCCAAACTGACTTGAAATTCGGATTCAGCGGGTCAAAATACATGCCGGTAGGTAGGTCGTGTCTGATGTACAAACAATTTTTTTTTGTGTGCCGGTGTAATTAACCGCATGGGCATACGGTGTTCAAAATACATGGCTTCTTATGGGATAAATTATATAATTTTATCTATATAAAATACAAATTAGGTATGTATGACCAAATTCGAAAAGGTTTCTTAAATACTGAAATTTGATAAGTACAATTTTGTGGCAATTTTTTTTTTGAATTGAACCAATATATGGTTTTAAGAGTGAAATAAAACACAGTTAACAGAATTTTTATTGTTGTAATACAAGTATAAAGGGAGATTTGGGAATGTACATGGTATTACCTCATCCTTTAATTTCAGCTTTCCCCTTTTTATTTTGCTAACAGTACCATCAGTAAAAAATAGTCTCATAATATTTTATAATATAGAACAGCATCATCTGCCACTGTTCTAAACGTTTAGTATCCTATAAAAAACATTTACAATGACACAATTGGGGTAAAAAAAATTACAGTAGCAACTCTTTATCTAACATTAAAACTCTATAAAAATAAATGTTCTTTTCTAGTAAGTTAAATTTAATGCATAATTATTGTTGTTTGTAAGTCAGCATCTATAACTATAAAATTTAATATTATAGAAACTTGTAATAAAATAAACTACACTTCGTAAGATACATATTGTGACTAGTTTACAATAAATATTATATTTAGACATGAATACATTATTTTACTTACAGTAGAAGCTTTAAAAAGACATTGAATTGATTTCTTCTTGTTTTCCTTAGTTTTACATTTGATTTTTATCCTGTTTTACAATCTAAAACGACGTAAATCTTGCTTTGATGTTTTTTGTCACTCATGTTACTTGTACTCAGGTACTTTCATACACATTATTTTGATTATTTTCACCATTTTTTTAAAAAATCACTTCATTTTACATTGACTTACATAGAAAATTGACACCGCTCTCATTCGATATGCCAACTACAGTCAATTTCGCGAACTTTATGAAAAGAAGGACGGAAATTTGAAATTTGACATTGCCGATTCGCCTCCTTCTCTCTTGTCTTCAAAATTTTTACAAACTGTCCACTGCTGTCCACGTCTACTGTCTGTCTACAAACCACGTGTACCTTTAGTTAAAATCTGAGACGCACAGATGATGCCATCGTTACTGTGGTCGTTGCGTTTCCTATCTTCATGGCCCTGATCTGTGTACATGTTTTAGTCTTCTAGGGCCAAATAATGTTTGTGAAGTGCAATATCTCTTTAACTAGATCGTCTGAAATATTCTATGAATAGATTTCTATCATTTTGATAATTTACTCCTCATTGCTCAAAATTTAAAGAGAATGTAGACAAGTATTAGAAATTAAAAATTTAAAAAAACCGACTTCAAAAACGTGCAGATGCCATCACCACATCTTAACCAAATTTATATGGGACCACCCCTGAGGTACCCCCTTACTAACAAAAAAAGAATCATATAAATCGAACAAGGTGGTAAAGCATTATCGGTAAACATACAGAAACATGCAAAAAAATTAGGAGTTTGAAGATTTTCTCATGGACTCAATTATTAGATTTTGACCAAATTTATATAGGACCACCCCTGAAGTACCCCATTTCTAACAAAAAAAGAATTATTGAAATCGGACACCGTGTTAAAGAATTATTGCTGAACATACATAAAAAAAAATATCGCGACGAATTGATAACCTCCTCCTTTTTTGAAGTCGGTTAAAAATCTAGAACACTGTCGTACGCACATTCTAGATAATTCAATTTCGATATTACTCGATCAACAATGTAAGGAAAGTACCTATTTATTGTTAAATCATTCTTAGCACTAAACAGAACTTCTTCATCTGCGTCGCTTTCATCGAAATATCACTTCCTCTTTCTGGTAAAATTTCGTTTGCAGTGTAGTCCTGTTTACCTTAGCGCTTTGGTCACACATACTTTGAAGTGTTTGGTCATCTATCTCTTCATAGATAATGAAATTATAGATTTGTACAAATCGATGATCAATCCAATATTGTGGTTTTTACTGACTGTATTAATGCGTTTCAGAATAATATTCCAATATTCAAATCTAGTTATTTTTTGATTAATCCTGCTGCCTATGCTTTCGTCACGAACTGTCTCAATTTGAGATTGATTTCAGAGTATCGTGAATATTTTTCTAAGACTTCACTAAAACCTTGCGGACACCATCTTTCCATGACCATCTCATGGACGACAGATTCTGTAGGAAGATTAAAAATTCAGTGTTTTTAGTTGCCGTAGAAAAAAGTTCTGTTTTCGAAAATTTGCCGCCGTAGGCTATAGCCTAGCTAGCCTATGTCCATCTAAATGGGTTTGGACTCTTCAAAACAATAAACCAATACGAAAAATGAAAAAATATCATCCGATATTTTACTAAAGTGTAAATATAAAATTTGTGGCCCAAGGTGCAAAATATGTAAGAGACTAGCTTTTTTATATTATTTGGTTTTAATGGTTTCTGTAAATACCTTTTGAAATAAAAAAATGTTAAAATATTATTTATTTACTTTTATTACCTACTAATACGCTCTTGATTATTTTTTAAAAATGTTGTTACCCGCACACATACAAAAAAATAAATAAATCATATTTTAAGATGATATAAGTAACCAAAAATATTAATTTTTAGGCATTAGTCTTACTCAGCTACTTTTTTTGTACGCCACTGGTAGCTTTGTTGTAAAAGATAAGAACAAAAGATTATATTATACCAATCGATAGAGAAAACTCTAATCTAAAATTTTTGTATCTTCTATTTTTTTTAAGTGGCTTCAATCATATGTCTTTGTGATTACCCCTACCATTTTTTTGTTCTTGTGGGGTACCTTGAAAACATAAACGCATCAAAACGACGTTTCTATCTCTTACCGTTTTTGAGAAAAAAAAAATAAAATTAAAACTAAAACAATCCACCTATCAAATTTATAGGGAGATGGAGAGGGGGCCAGCAGGACTTTTTGAGATGGTTCTGTTCCAAAATCTACTAAAGTTTACATCCTCTATCCCCTCTAGAAAAGATTTGCTTTTACTCAAAAACCGAAGTATGAAATCCTCAAGTCATTATACTGTTAATCAAAAATATTCTTGGGATAAAATAATATAAACAGTGTTCCATTAAAAAAAAAGTTCTAATTTGTCAGGTAGAAGCGTAACACACTGTCTATCCCAAAAATAATAATAAAATAGAGGTATATTTCGAATCTCTATAACTTTTGTTTGAACTTTTTGTTTGCCTGTATATAATACAAATTGCAATATCGAGAAAATACCAAAGATATGAAAATACGCACTAAATATAGATACCCGGTATAATCCAATTCGTATTTTTTATTTCGTGGCCTCTTATTCTATTGTTTAATCGCATTGATCAAAATAACATTTTGTTTTAGTTATCGACAAATAACAGAACGGTATTTTTTCACTCCCAAATTACTCGTAAATATAATAAATGAGGAATTTTATGTAATCCTATATCGGGTTTACTTGCGTCCCCACCACTTCCCCGCTGGCGATGGCGGTCTTGTAAAGCTGGGTATTATTTATCTTATGAATTGAATAAATTTTGTTTGAAACTCTATTTATATGTCATACAGATGAAGTAACTGAAACGGATTATTTCATATAATTATTAATATAATGTAAATATAGCCAGTAATAATGAAATAGAAATTTTAAATTTTGTTATTGGAATATTAGGTATTATTAAAGTTGATTTATTTATACCAAAGTAGATGAACATGGCTGAAAAACGCAGTATTATTTTATTTTTAAGTGCCGCTTTTGTGGGTGTTTTGGTGACAGGTGAGTACAATGATTTTAAATAATAATTAAATAAATAATCAAAATAACAGGTTCATATATTTAAATAATAATAATAAAAAAAAATATATTCAAGTTTCCTGTGTTTATATAAATTAGATAAAGTTTTTGTAGAAATGCTCATTTATTTTTGTAACTTGGTTCTAAAAGAGTCGATTAACATTATAAAGGAAACACTGATGAAAGTAATACTAGTTACAGGGGTGGTTTTTCCGTGTACATGTGAAGCGCTAGTTAACTTCATATGTTCTCTTATTAGGTATATTTTTTACAAAATCTTGATTGTTGGCCTTTTTAGAATCAAGTTGAAGATTTATAACTACTAGCTTTTTGTCCATGGGCTCGCTCGCATGGATTACATTATTTAGATTATTCAGGAATTTATTTATTCATGAGGTAAAAAACACTTATTTATCTCAATTAAAGATGACCGCATTTGAGCTGTTAAATGCCCGTCATGGGCTATTTATTTTTGCCCATTAAAACTCATAAATTTTAAACTTCTGTTTCTTTATTTTGAATGTAGAGTGTATTCTGTATGTTGCAAATGAAAGGAATAAATTTATTATTTCGTTGACTTCTGGAAAAATCCCGAAACTCGTCGATTTTAATTATTTTTATTCGTTACGTATAAGCGTGATGACGTCATCGCTGATTTTTAAAATAGAAATATGGTTATAAAGCGATACATCGTTTGAAAGGCCATTTAATTATATATTCAATCGTATTAATAAGTTTAGGAATTTCAGGTTTTTACAGGGTCAAACATTGTTATTACAATATTTTTGTTTATTAAATGAAACCATGTTCAAAAAAAAATTTAATGCTTAAATTGACGACCCTCAGCTTTAACACAGTGAGATAGACGAGCAGTGAACTCTTAATATTATTAATAATAATAATAATAATCGTCTTTATTTCCAATAATTTAAAGTAAATACAAACAAATAATAATTCATACGGGCGAAGTTTATTTTTGGTTGTGCACTGGACACAACAAAAATATTCGCGAATAAACCTGCATATATAACAGTATAATTTTAATATTTAACCATGAGTAATGTGGACAAAATGAAAATTAATTTCTTTTTCAGGAAGGCTAAATCCAATAATATAATTTTGTGGCTTGGTCGTAAAATAATCAATCTCAATTTAAGGAGAGAGAGTTCTTATGGTTTCCGATACAATTCTATAGTTCTTAATACTTTTTATTAATTGTTGTGTCTAATTTACTACCGAAAACTGCAATTTAAAAAAAGATGCCGACTGCCTCAATACAATATATAAAATTAAATTTAAAAAACCAGACGGTAATTCGATAGTTTACTAATAGTTCTAGAGTTCTTGTTCGTTTGTATCGCTAAATTATTTCAATTATAGCTCTGGCCCTCCTGAAATAATTATAAATAATAATTATTCGTATAAATAATTCGAGAGACGCTAAAATGGTGACAAACGTAACAAAAACGAGAAATTATTTAATTTGGAACGAAAGACTGAAAGCCGATAGTAGTATTAGGACGTTGAATTTTTTGGTTTATAAAGCATTGGCATTACTTAGGTTAAACCATGTGATGATTTTCACAAGCCTTGATTTTTAAAACCATTCTATATCGCCTTTTGATTAGGGTTTAAAAACTTGTTTGAGCAATTTATCCAATAATAATTGGCCCCTTTACCTCTTAAGCCTGCTCATGTAAAATATTTGGGCTCCTTACTTCGCCTATTTATATTCTAATAATAAAGGACAGAATGATGAGTATTGCAACTATGTTAAAAGAAATAAATTTGCTTTCAGTTCAGAATTATGTTCAGTACATGACTGATATTTATTTATAAAATAAAAATGACATAGTACCATCGCATCAGAACTATTAGAAAAAATTCAATATAATTCGCAATATCACAACTATAATGCAAGAAGCCAATCTGACTTTCATGTACTGCAAGCCATCATTAAAAATTCCCAAAATACAATTTTTATTAAAGGTTTAAAAAATTTAATAGACTGCCAACAGAAATTAAAAAAAAAAAAAATAAATGTATTCAAAAGTAACCTCAAACAATACTTAATAAACAAACAGAACGGATATACTTTCCCTTAATTTATTGTTATTTTGTTTTGAGATCGTGTATTTTATTTTAAAAAATTACTTAATGTTAAATTAATACTACTTACTATGTTTAAATATAGACACAAAACTATTTTTGTGTTAAAGTAGATCCATAGAGAGCAATGTAATTTACAAAGGACTTCTTTCAACATACAAATAAATGACAACTTTATAGTTAAACTAAAAAACAACAAAATACCTCGGTATCATAATTGATCCAAATTTGAAATGGGTTGTTCACATTACATCATTAAAATCCCAAGGAAAGAAGATTCATTTTTAAATTTTATGAATTCAGATAATTTATGACTAGGAATTTACTAATTATTATTTACGATTCGCTGGTTGAATATGTAATCAAAAAAGTATACATTTTTTAATAATTTGACATTTAAGAGCCATTCACACATCTTGATACTTGACAGACACAGTCAAGCATTATTATGATTTTTGCCAAATAAAATGGCCGGTTAATTATTCTATGGGGTTGCGACAGAGAGCCAGTAAATTTGATGAAGGTGTTTTTTCGGCTAGGGGCGAAATATTAGTACGCTTAATAGCACCACCATAAAAAAGTAATTTTTAAGAAACTGCTTATATATTTTTCATAAATTGGCAGGCTTGGCAACTAATTTCGAATAAAAATAGCATCCAAAATGGCTATGGTTGCAAGTATGAAGGTCGCAACCCTCCTCAGAAATTTCACCTTTACTATCAACAGCTGTTGTTTGACAGGTCGTTAGAGAATGTTTGCAATTTATGGAATGTTAAGAATGTTAGTAATGTTGACGTTAGAAAAAAATTTAAATTCCTAAAATTGTCACATAAGGAATGCATAGGCGGATTTTAATAAAATTGATATTAAAGTAGTTAGGATGAACCTTTCAATCAATAGGGTTCTAAGTTAGAAGTAAATATTCAAGAAAATCAAAACCGCAAGTCAATCAAAACTTTCGTTCTAGACATACATACACACAGACGACCAGACGAATTTTTTTTTGCATTTTCGTACTCCGAATGATGAGAAACATGAAAAAAAGTTTTCAAAAATGTGGGTCATAAAATTTTTTCGTCTGCACGAATGCAATACTGAGGCCCCATAGGAAGGGCCTCAGTAATTATATACGATAGTAAGATGCTGTCATATTAAGACCATTTCTGAAATATATAATGCTTCTAATTGACAATTAAAGTCCACTTGCATGTAGTCGCGAAGAGTTCTATCCCCTAGCAATTTCTGAATAATTTAAAGGAATAATTATCATAAACAAAAATTGAATTCGTCTGCATTAAGACTACCCTTGCATCAATATTCAGTTCTAGTCTCTAGCAGTTTCTGATTAATTTCAAGTAATAATTATAAAAATAAAATGTAGACGAAAGTGAGATGCTGACGAATTTTGACGATTTCTAAAACACAACTAAATGATATATAAACTACCACTGCATAGCATCATAAAGAGTTCTAGCTTCTAGCACTTTCTGAATAATTTTAAGAAATAATAATTAAAACAAAAATTGAAGACTATATTTCGACGAGTTCTAGAATATTTAATGCTAGCTAGAGTCCTTCTGCATTAATATTCGATGATTTCTAGCTTCTAACACTTTCTGAATAATTTTCAGTAAACAAAAATTGTAGACAATAATGAGATGTTATATTATTATGAGATGTTATATTATTTTGAGAAGTTCTAGAATTATATCCCATCAGTGCGTAATTGATCGATAGCTGTTTTATTATAGGAAATACGAAAAAAAATTTGTATGACCATATTAACAATTATTCTTAAATATACAGGGTAATCCATAAACGAGGTTATTGACGACAGGACCGTCCTTCATTACCTGTTTTTAAGGCGGCATATGTTTGTAATAATTTAATCCCCCGCCGCGTGTATATATTTTATTCACGCTTCTATTGGATATTGTAGTTTACCTAAGTATTTACTTAAATTATTATATTTTTAAAACGTATAAACAAACAAAATTTTTAGAAAAACTAGTTCGGCTCAGCGGACTCGACCACAAAATTCTGTTCGGCAGTCAACGTGTATTAAATGCTTTTTTATTCATTTGTTGTTTAATTTGTGTTTATTTAATATTTCAAAATGTTGATTTTTCTTATTGATTAACCGAAAATGCACACGTAATTTTTATTATTAATTGCAAATAGTACTGTAATTCTGAATTTATAAAAAAAGTGAAAATAAAAACTTAATGGTCTAAGATCCGAAGTAAGGTCGACCTTCACCCATCTGTTTAATGGATGAAAGTTTCTTTTTATTAAATAAAATGTGTTTATAAATATACTGCAAATGGGTTGCCTAAGAAAATACGGTCCAGACTATTTATTTTCTTAAAGTAAAAAAAACGACAACCTGTAAAGTATTCCCCAGATGCTTCGACTATGCCCAAACTTTAATCAGCTTACCGCAGGATGGATTAAAGCTTAAATTTAAAATTTAGTGTTTTTCTCTTCATCCGTTTTTGAGTTATCTTCAAAATTCAAAATTTGCACTTTTCCTTAAATATCTCGAATTAGATCCATTTTAGGGAAATTTTGTATAAAGACAAAATAATAGAGAATGACATCATAAGCAACTTTTATCATAATTCCTTATCATATTTCCTTATCTGTACACAGAAAGGAAAGTAAAAACTGGCCGTGACCGTATTTTTTTAGGCAACCCATTTGCGGTATATTTAAAAACATATTTTATTTATTAAAAAAGAACTTCTATCCATTAAACAGATGGGTGAAGGTCGACCTTACTAACGGATCCTGGACTATAATATGAAAATATAAATTAAGTGAAATTTTATGTTTAATTCAATTTATTTTTTCTTACAAAAAAATAATATCTG